GTTTAGTCCCTAAATTCAAAAAACTTCACAGATCGTCCCTGTGGTTTCAAAACTTTTAATATTTGATCCTTCCAACTCACTCCATTACCATTTATGGGCATTTTTGTCTTTTCATTACCTAGGGACCATTTATGAGGTTTTCTATTACTTTTTTTTTAAATAAATAAATAAATTTAATACGCAAGGGTCCCACCTCTCTCTCTCTCTCTCTCTCACACACACACACACACACACTCTCTCTCTCTCCCTTAAAATCCTTTTGATTCTTCTATCTATCTTCTTTCTTTTTGCCCTCTAGAGAAACACCTCCACCATCTACCATGAACCTAACCGTACAAAACCCTATATCCCACCAATAGCCCCCTTATCTTCTGTTTTCTCTAGTAATTGTGAGGTTGTTAGAGATGAACACTAGAATACCACCAAAAGATGTATGACATAGAGATAGAGGTGAATCTGGAGAAGAATATTAGAAGTAATGAATTTCAATTATTTGAAGCATAAAATCCTTAATTGCAAAAGCATATGAAGTTAAAATGTTGACTTCTCTTCAACAACACATAATCAAGGGGCATTGTACCCAGATTGGAATGATTTATATCTGAGTTTCATTCAATCTAATGTTTTGCTCCTGTAAGTTACGAACCCTGCAAAAATATAATACAAAGGGAATATGAAACTGAGGGACTCGGAAAGGGTGAAAGTGGGATTTGGCCCTAAGGCAGCTTACCAAGACCTCAGGTAACCTCCGGTAGCCTCAAATCTATATCTTTTTCTCATAATTTTGTCTAAAATTTAACTGATTTTCTTCCATCTGTCGGAGAAGAGATTTGGGTTGCTCGAAGCTTAGGATTAAGCTGAGTTTGCGGAGATTAGTCATGAGGTTGTCGACCTTTAGGTTTTGGTTTTGTCTTCTAAGCAAGTTTGTGCAATGCTGTTGGTTTCTTCCATCAATGTTGAGTGGTGGAGTTGAAAGTCCCGAATTGGAGTTGAATAAGATGAGATGACACCTGGGTTTTGTATATGAATCGTCGTAGAACCCTTGTGATGCCTCTAATTGCGTTACATGAACCAAAAATTGGAGCTTTGACTGCAATTTGAGGAGCTCCTTCCGATATAGGGGTGGCAGTAGGTTTTGTACTAAAATTTATGAAACCTTTTTAGAAGGTGAAGAGACATTTAGGGAGGGGAAGGGTGGTCGAGGCTCTTTGATTTCACTGAGATGATCTTGCAAAATGGAGACTGATATTTGATGTTACAGAAGAACGAGCAAATAAGTGCACCAAGGAGCTAAAAAGAGTTTACATTTACAATCACAATTCATATGTTCCTGAAAACATCGAGCATACAATCTATTGAAATACTGGTAGATTTAGGTTGGATCCTTTAACCTAATTAGTAAATGGGTTATTGTTTACAGGTTAAGGAGATTCTTGGAGATAAGATTGGTGTCAGCATAACCGAGAGAGAGAGAGAGAGAGAGAGAGAGAGAGAGAGAGACGTGGGACCCTTGCATATTAAATTTATTTATTTATTAAAAAAATAATAGAAAACCTCATAAATGGTCCCTTGGTAATGAAATGACAAAAATGCCCATGACTTAACGGCTAAATGGTAACGGAGTGAGTCGGAAGGATGAAAACCCCGGAGTTTGCTCCGAACCGTTTTTTTTCTTCATGTTTTTATGAAAAAATGTAAAAGTTTTTACTGCAAGGATCAGAAGTTTCAAAACGGTAAAGAATTAAAGGGGTAGGAATTAGCAAATTTTTAGAAAATGGATCAAAGTTGTCAAATCGTTAAAGTTTTGTGGCCAAACTTTAAATATTAAAAAGTTCCTAAAAAGTGTAAAAATATTGATTGCAATGACCAAAAATATCAAAATAAGTAAAAAAAATGAGGAACAAAGTGCAGGAACCATTTCTGCTAAAAAAATGTCATTATTCCTAATCTTCATATCTTTAATATATATATATATATATATATATATATATATATATATATATATATATATATATATATATAAAAGCAAGATAAATACAATGGTCGTTTCACAAAAAAAAAAAAAAAAAAAAAAAAAAGATATAATGGTCGTTTTTACAAATGTTTTGATAAAAGCATAAACCTATACAAATTAACGAAAATTAAATTGAGAAAGACGAAGACAAGATAGAAGAAGAATATTAAAAATAAAAAATAAAATAAAAAAATCGAAGGGCTTAGAATGTAAGAGAGACAAACAGTTTAGTTTTCTTTTTCTAGAGAATATCGTTAAAAAATTTACATCGTGAATAATTAAGCTGTCAAAATATTTTATATATGGTTTTTTAGGTTACAATAAAAAGATGTAAAAAGGTAATTAGTAATCTTCTAAGGAATTATAAATAAATTGTTGGTAATTTTAATATCACCCTTTCATTCTATGTAATGAGCTTTATATATTTTTCAAAATGAATTATATATTAGTTTTAATACAAGGTTAAAGATGCGGAGTGCAAACTTATATTAATGTAGATTGATCCCGGTGTGAGCAAATGAGCGGGGGTCAAGGGGGCCGAGCCCCTTTTGCGGGGTTCCAATGGGCAGTACCTCTTGGCGGTTGCATTCAGCTAGTTAGAAAAAAAAATACAAATTTACCATAAGGACCTTAATATAAATTATTGAATCTTCGAGGGGTTCACTATAAATTCGTTTGTTTATCCGGCCCTTAACTGCCTTATCCAGAGGCAGTTGTTTTTTTAATTCTAAAAGCTATCATAACTTTCTTACGTTTTTTGAGACAGATGAAATTATATACAAACCATTCTCTTTCGTTTTGATCATCTTTTTTGTGCTTAGAATCTTAATTGTTCTTTTAATGATTATCTCATATCAAATTTCTCGTAACTCATGCATAAACAAGAAATATTGACTTGGAAATCAACCAACACAATCCTTGAAGAATCCAATGATCATATTTTGTTTTATACCCTATTTTTCTAACATAAATAAGGAGAAATAAAAACTTCTTATTTAAGCAAATAAGTGTTTATCAAATTCTCTCTCTCATCCAAACGTTCAAAATAACTTATTTGTAGTGTCAAACCACAATAAGTCAATAAGTTGTTTAATTAGTAATCACAAACACCCTCTAAACCGGTTTTTTAGTTGAACAGGTATGATGCCGTTTTTCGGTTTAAACATTGATTCGACCAAGAAATTTCCTACATCTAGTGGCGATGTGCATCGGACTTCGAATTGTGTACACTCTCAAAATGTTTTTTTTTTTTTTTTTTTTTTTAGAAATAGGTTGTTTTTTTAACAAACTAAAGAGGTGTTTGGCAAAACACTTTATTAGATTATTATCGGTTCTACACTGCTATAAGCTAAAAAAGTGTTTGAATAAAAATAGCTTATAGTAGTGACAAACTACTAATAAATCATGTTTTCATAAGTTAACTCCTTCTAACTTATTAGCTTATAAGCTAATAAGTAATAAACATTTTTTCCAAACACCCCCTAAATGAAATCCAGCTATACATGTCAATAAACTGGTTTAAATAGTTTTTTACCGATTTTATCACATTGGTTCTACCCATTTTTTGAGGAAATCATCCGATTTGATCTGGTTTAGAAATGGGAAAATGATATAAAAGCCCTTAAGTTTTCATAAAAATGTCGGTTTTACCATTAAACGTGTTTTAGGTCCAGGAAAGCTCGAAGTTTTATTTAATTTGTTCATTTTTACCCTTATAACCGGTTTCTAGGTAACCTATCGGTTACATAATACCAGTAAAGCCCTTGAATTTTCAAAAATGTTTGGATTTACCCTTAAGTTTTTCAAAAATATTCAAATTTACCCTTACATTGATAATTATTATTATTATTATTATTATTATTATTATTATTATTATTATTATTATTATTATTAGACAAAGTTGCAAAAATGGTCCCTATGGTATGCATTTTTTTGGGGTTTCAATCCAAACCTCGACTTTTTTGGATTCATGATCCTTTTGGCCTAGTTTGTATGTATAATTGGTCCCCCGACTTAACTTCTGTTAAGTTTTTGCTGTTAACCCCCTCATGTGCCTCCCAAATGAGGGTATATTTGTCTTTTCACTTATAAGAGACCATTTTTGCATCTAAAAAAATATATCCCCATTTTTAAAAGAAAAAAATTAATACATATTTTTTTCGTTTAACAATTAAAAAATAAAAGTGGTCTCTCTCTCTCTCTCTCTCTCTCTCTCTCTCTCTCTCTCTCGTTTCACACATAAACATACATAACCAGATGACCTCATTCATCCTCCATCCCACTCTCTTAGATTTCCTGAATCTCCAAATTCACTCCTGATGTCCTCTTTGTCTTCCTCAATAGCATGATAGGAACCATTATCTTCACCTCCAACTTACCCAACCACAATTAAATAGAAGATTCAAAAGGAAAAATCCAAATATATTTCAATCAACATGGATCCTCCATCCTCCACCGTATCAGATCTTTCAACGTATTCAATCTGACCCTGACGCAACCCTCTTTTGCCACTACCTGATCATGAATCGGATCATGTTAAGCCGATGATCACATCCCCCATTATCATCAACAATCAACATCCCTTGAAGTTAAAGAACAAATAGAATATCAATCGAGACTACAGACCTGAATCTTTGATCTGCCTTAACCTTGCTCTATCTGTAGTTATTTGCTTCGATTTATATTTCTTTAGAGTAAATTACATGTTTGGTCCTTGTGGTATGCTGATCTTTTGCTATTCATTTTCATTGATATGCTGATTTCAATCAACCTTGATCCTATGGTCACCATTTGTTCATCATATTTACCTAGAAATATGAATTGATTTCAAAGCTCAAGAAATCAAACAAAAAAAATCATGTGTACAGTTTGGGTGTGATCGTGTTGATCTTCGTGACCTACCTTCACAACAAAGAGAAACTAACGAAATAAGGAAAGGATTTTAACAGACCTAATCGGACTTGGAGTGCCGGATTCTAACCACCACTCATTTATTCCTTATCTTGTTGATCGGGTTAACCGCCAGTTGAAAGATGTTGTACAACACCCAAGTGATGACTGGAACTTCAGAAAGCTCATTCACACAGGTGCTTAATCGAACTGATTAGGGAAGAATAAGATTGGAAGCAACAAGGGCTGCTTAAGCATTAATATGCGAAAGAGAATAAAGGAAGGAATATCCGAGGGAAACAGGTAAGCTGCGGAAGCAACTTCAGTAAGGAAAGGTGCGAAGATGCGATGAAGAACCGAAGGAAGTGGCGAGGCTGCTCCATGGCGAGCCTAATCGTGGTTTCTTTCTCGTCATCGATAACAACGATTTGGAAGGGAATCAGAGTAGCTACAATACCAAAGATTGAGGTGAAGTGTTTGGGGTTGTGCTTTTTCGACTGTAGGAGGGTTGTAGAGGTGTTGAACATCGATTGCAGTCGTCAAGAGGGTTGTAGCTCCTCTTGATCTCGCCGGAAACAACCATCCCATGGTGTGTTTGTTTGTTTGATGCTCGACAGGGGATTTTGGGTTATGCTTCTTCAACAATGGTGTTTGGGAAGAATAAAAGGGGAGAGAGAGAGAGAGAGGGAGGGGGAGAGAGAGAGAGAGAGAGAGAGAGAGAGAGAGATTATATTTTTTAATTATTAAAATAAATAAATAGGTATTATTGTTTTTTTTAAAAGGAGGATATATTATTTTTTAGAAGCAAAAATGGTCCCTTAGAAGTTAAAAGACAAATATACCCTCATATGGGAGGCACATGAGGGGGTTAACAGCAAAAACTTAACGGAAGTTAAATCGGGGGACCAATTCTATGTACAAACTAGGCCAAAAGGACCATGAATCAAAAAAAGTCGAGGTTTGGACTGAAACCCCAAAAAAATGCATACCACAGGGACCATTTTTGCAATTTTGTCTTATTATTATTATTATTATTATTATTATTATTATTATTATTATTATTATTATTATTATTATTATTATTATTATTAATTTTTAATACATTTTTAAATGTATAAAAATATTTTATACATACATTTTTAAATATATAAATATATTTTTACTAATATAAATATATTTTTAAATATATATATACTTGTATTTAGTATTTATATACATTTGAAACCCCATGTATTCCTGTAGTAATATACTTATATGTTAAAATGTATTTATTTGTACTTAGTAGGTATAAATATATATATATATATATATATATATATATATATATATATATATATATATTTCATATAAAAATATATTATATACATATAAATATAGAAATGCATATTTATATGGCTTATATTATATAAAAGATATAATTAGATGTATTTGTACATATTCCCAAGTATAAATATGTGTTTATTTCATAACTATATGCATACTATAGTTTTTATATAGAGGAAATACATATTTGTATCTATTAAATACAAATACAAATATTTTTAAATGTATAAATATGTATGTAAATGTATAAATACACTTTTTAGTTGTATTTAATACATATAAATATGTTTGGAAATGTATAAATACGTTTTCATTTGTATTTAATAGATATAAATATGTGTTTCATTTGTATAAAAACTATCTTATGCAAATAGTTATGGAATAAATACATATTTATAGTTAGTAATATGTACAAAGACATATAAATATATCTTTTATACAATATAATCCATATAAATATGTATTTTATATTTATATGTATATAAGATATTTTTATATGAAATAAATATATATTTATACCTACTATATACAAATAAATACTTTGTTAATATATAAATACGTCTTTAATGGAATAGATGAGAATTCAAATGTATATAAATACTAAATACAAGTATATATATTTTTAAAAATATATTTATATTAATAAAAGTATTTGTATACATTTAAAAATGTATGTATACAATATTTGTATACATTAAAATGTATTAAAAATACGTAATAATAATAATAATAATAATAATAATAATAAAAATTAAGGTAATGGTAAATCCGAACATTTTTTAAAAACTTAAGGATAAATCTGAATATTTTTGAAAATTCAAGAGCTTTACTGGCATTAGGTAACCGGTAGGTTACCTGAAAATTGGCTACAAGGGTAAAAATGAACAAATTAAACAAAACTTCAGGCTTTATTGGACCTAAAACACGTCCAAGGGTAAAACCAACATTTCTGTGAAAACTTAAGGGCTTTTATGTCATTTTCCCTTTAGAAATTGACATAAAACTTGTCGTTGTTGAAACGCTCTTGTCCCCGGTTCTTGATCCGACTGGTCCGACTGTCCGGTTTGCACTGATTTTTAAAAGATGTACGAGATTGAGATTTAGTCATATTGTCATTGTGGCCCAACAAACTTTCGTATATTGGTTTAAATGGTCCCTCGTAACTATTTTTTACATTTGAGGGGCATGTACTTGTGTTTTACCGTTTGAAAATGTCCTTTTACCCATTTTAGCCGGTATTCCTATCTAGTCACTTGCAAAGTAAGCAGGTTAGTGAATACATATAACCCGATGAGTCAACATAGACTCACTAATGAGTCGACTCAATGATAGACTTGCAGGAATAGGGTCAACCATCCACATCTCTTTGAACCTTTCTCCTTAACCTATACATGTACCTATGAATTTTCTCAACATTGATGAAGCCATGATTCAAACACTCCATGTGTATATTCGCACGAAGAAGAAAAAAGGATATTAGAACAAAAAAACATGTACACTTCTACCGGATCAACTCTTCCTTCTCCAAAATCAAGATATGTTACTGTTAATTTAATGGAAATGGGTTCGATGAGCCCATTGGCGCTCGGTTCAACTCCACCGATGTCCCCTCTAACATCTCCGATGTAGCAGAACAAGGTGAATCATGTGATGTCGTTGGCGTTGCAATTTCCGGAGAGTAGGTTGAAGACGGCTCTGACTATGGGCTTGATTTTTTTATGGCAGTTGCTCAGGCAGACATTGACACAGGTGAATCCCCCAACAAACCTCCACCTTTTCCGAATGGGGTTCGCCGGGGACGACGTGCATTGACACTGGAATGTCATCCTTTTGCTCTGATTACTTTGTATGTGAAGGAATCGGTGAATTCGATATTGAAACTTCTGAAATCTCTATACCTTCTCCATGATTTCTCTTTCCGATTCCGAAATCTCCATGTGACATCACATTCGTTTGGATTTCGGGTGTTGACTAGTGTTTGATAGTTGAGAAACACTATTGATTTGAAGTGTTTTAGGTTGAATTTCTTGATAGCCATCAAAACTCCCCAATCAGAACAGTTTACTAACCTCATATCATCGCAAGCACCAGAGCTCAAGCTTAGATTCGTATCATCGCAAGCACCAACGACGAAAGCAAACCCTAACAAGGCGTTTCCTCTTCTTCTCATAGTCGATACCCCTCGACTTTGCCTGAAATTCACGAAACTCCACTGAAAACCGCCACACTTCCACTACCACTATTGGGTTTGGTTCTCTCCATGGTCCAGTAATGTCGGCGATTAACCCAATCACAATCACCACAGTCGCAAATTGGGTGAAGAGAGATAGTGAAATCTGAAGCGTGAGATGTGGAGAAGGGAACAAGAGTACCAATTCGCTCCAAGATAGGATGGACCAAATGCAAAACTAGGGTAAACATTATCACATCTACGTGACAATGACCTGGACTTCTTTAATCTAGATGACAATGACTTGGAATTGGCAAAATGCAAGATAGTTTGGGTGTCACCGGGGGACCCCTTCAAAATTTTCAAAATGGCCTTTTAAAACATAAACACACAATTAAGTGCCCCTCAAATGCAAAAAATAGTCACAATGAACTCTTTAAACCAATGTACTAAAGCTTGTTGGGCTACAATGACAATAACCCAACTATATATAAATGTTTATAAACGCTAAGCTTATCACAAATCATTATCCAATTATTCACATAAAAATAAGCTTATCACAAATCATTATCCAATTATTCACATAAAAATAACATCAACCACTTCTATTAACTCTAATTAGCGAATACGAATTACATATTTTACCAATAAGTATGTGCATTAGGTTTGTACTTGACTGGCAATAGTGTGAAAAGGAAACCCTGAAGGACTTGATATGTAAGAATGGATTACGTTATAGAGATTCTAGTGATAAGTTAGGTACGCGTTAGCCATGGAATAAAATCATATAGAAGGTGCTAATATTCAAAGAAAAAGAATCCAAAAAGGAGTGGGGGAATTATTAAAATAAAAATATGTTGCCCGAAACGATTTGATCTTATAAGATCTGAGAAATAAAATATTCAATATACAATACTATTTCAAATAAAAACATGTTTACACTTCACATGCTTAATTATTGGATATATATACGATGATTACATGACGTTTTTTACATGAAAATTAATACCTTAATATTAATTCAGTACATTTCTTTTGGTATAGAATAATGTATTGATTAAATGAGCATAAATTTTATCTTTTTTTTTTTTTTCAATATTGCTCAGTACTAATCATTGAAAATTATCAGCATCGTTAATTTTTATATTATATAATAGTTGACGAAAATATTTATTTTATACATATTATTCTACATGTATATCTTAAAACAGAATTTTAATCCAAAGTTTGTTCAAATATTGCAAAAAGTTTAATATACTTTTTTTTTTAAAATTAGCTACAATTTCAACATTCATCTCAGGGAATCAGTCAAGGTGAGTTTATACTCCCACATTTTCATGCTTTCTTTGAGTTTTAGAGGGGGAATACAAGTTAAAACACCAAAAACTTAACTAAACTCAAACATCAGCTTTCAACAGGAAAGTTTAGTTCCATTCATGGACTATTTTGAACATCTTAAACTTTTTATTTTTTAAAAATGTACTAGGTGCAAATAGTTCAGGTTTATACTTTTAAAATAACCACTTGCACATGTTCATATGATTTTTCTACAAATTATGGTGATTTTTACAAAACTGTCTATCAATGTAGCTACGAATTCGGACCATTCAGTGAATATGAACATTTTCACACAAGTTAGAGACTTCTAAAAATCATAATAAAAATTTTGAACAAACTAGACACATTTTCTAAACTCTCAGAGTTTACGGATTCAATTTTCGACTTCGTATGATTTTTCTATGATTTTTCTAAAATAGTGCAGAAAAGTAAAAACTAGTTAAACAGCTTACAATATTTACAACACTTTGTAACATGTTGAGAAAAGTGTATAGCAATAAGTTTCTAAATGTTGAATGTATTTCTTGTTAGATTAACATCATAAACAGAAATGAGTCATTCATATTAAGGGTTTTCATACACTTCTAACAAGTATAATAAACTATAATAAGTATAGTTTATGGATTTCACATTTCAAACATACTACACGAAAGGGGATTTCAATTCCACCACAGAAAAGGTTTTACTCTCAATACA